ATAAGTCAAGTCAAATGGGACCGAAAACTGACTGATGGATTTAGTCACGTGATGATCAACGATGAGCTTGATAAGATGGTGGAATCATGGGGGCAAAATCTCTGTGGGAGGAAAGGAATTAAAACAGAATGGGCACAAGCCCGTAAAGGAGTTTCGTTGTAAAATGGAGCGGGGAAATGGGGCAGGAACCGTAAGGGAATGTCAGATCAGGAGAGTTCCTTTTTAAGATAGGTGATATAATGGGTTATTTGTATGCTGATTATAATCACCCAATAGGCAGAAATTGATGCTGAGTAAGCGAGAAGGATTCCTAAAGATATATCTTTGGGATCCGCTGCACAAGGACGGAAAGGGGCATGGGCAGTCATTTACAGTGACAGGAGGGGAGGCAGAGTTGATAGGCTAAGATGCTGGCAAGTGGGTTGATGCTTGCTGGGAACTTAGGGAAGTCTCTGTCTAGTTGGATAAACAGGCCTGGAATTCAGGAGAAAAGTTTGAGCTAAAGGTAGAGACAGCATAACAGGTAGTCGAAGGTATGCAATAGAACAGATCTGCTATGGGGAAGAGACGGTCGAATATGGCATGAGAACACCAATTAACAAAATGTGGCTTCTGACCATAAGTACATTAAAAGTTCAGAGAAGAAATGAGCAACAAAGAACGACAAGACTTGAGTCAAAGGGGCAGGATTTAGCGAGACATCATTCCAGGATCAGGGCAGTAGCGAGTGTATTAAAAAGCATAAGAAGAATGGTCTGAGCTAAGAACAGGAGAGAGAAAATGGCACCAAGTGGGAGAAAGTTCTGGTTGTCTGCCTTGATTTGCTATACATATAGGAAGAATTTTAGTGGGAGCAATGGTTAAGGGAACTTAAATGGTTTGCAATACCGATTGAAGATTAACATGTCAGGGGTGGGATCAACCCTGTAAGTAAGAGGAATGCTTGGCCACAGAGTTAGGACTCTGATAATGGGAATGGGGAGGAAGATTAACCATGGGTATTAGAAACAAAGACTTGGGGAGGGCAAACAAATTCTTAGAGATTTTATTCTAGGGTGCTTTTCCCCTTTAGAATTTGTGCTTTACATATTTTAAAGCAGAATTATATTTATTTTAATACAAAACTCTCCCTAATCCTGCAAGAATTTCAAACTGTCATTCAGGTTACATAGAAACACCTTGTTTAAATAACTTACACCCCCAATCCCTATTCTTTATACACATATGAGGCAAAGCCATTGCTAACCACATTTGATAACATTTAATCCGGGTTTCTGTTGATTTCAATATAATAAAAGTTGGTACATTTCCTGGAATTGGGTACTGGAGAGTAAAGGGAAATTCTCATATGTTTTCTTTTGGTTCTATTCGCACAGTCAGGTGAACCAAGACAATAGAATTTCAATTTGAAATATGAAAATAGTTTCCTTTTTCTCATTACAGAGCAATCCATTAGTTTTACAGAATTTCAATGTCACTTTCAATTTTTTTTTTTTTTTTTTTGCCAAAATGAAAATTTGCATCTAATGAACATCATTTTAGCGTATAAGGACACATGGAAACTCACTGGGGAAACTGGGAGAAGGAAGGAGTATTCAGATAATGGAAAAAGGTTACTGGAATGGAAAGATTTTGAACTCTGGAACCAACCAACCAAACAAATGAGAGGCATTAATCTCCAACACCTATTGGTTTCTCTATGTCAGATGATTAGAAAGAATCCCGGAGAGAGAGAGCAAGTACCAGTATTAATGATTCTAGAATCAGAGATGTAAATCCTAAAAAAAATTCCTTTACATGAACTCACTTTCAAAAAAGGGGATTCATTCCAAAACTAGGACAGGAAATTGAGTTTAACAAATCAGAAAACATTTACAGAGCTTAGCACAGTACAAACCTCCACAGAAGCAGCAGGGAGAATCAAAATGTGGCCCCATTCTTAAGGAATTTATAAGGATAATGCATCAGAAAAATGAAAGAATTAAGAGACAATTTAGAACTCTCTTTGAATTATCTAATAGTCTGGAAGTAGGAAGCAAGAAGCAGGATTGGATTTATTGTTCTAAACCGTAGAAGATACATGATGTAAATTGCATCTCAGTGCAAGAAAGGTGTTCTAAAAATTCGCAGTGTTCAAACATGAAACAGACTGAAGTTTCAGGTAGCGGATTTCATTCAACAATCATTCATGTATCGGGCTTCCTCACCTATTACACATGTGGGCTGGAGTGATGAGGTTCATCAGTCAGCAAGACGCTTTCTTATCCTCCAGGAGTCACAACCTTGGGACGCATCATCTATAGATAATTATTTGACATGGATGTTCTGGAAAGATACAACAAGATTCTTTTTGAATATCTTTTAAGAAGACAAGACATACATATACAGAACAAAATATCGGAATCGGATTTAAATTGAAGGTCAAGACAACAGCAAGCGGTGAGTGGCATTCACCAGGACAAGAAAAATGTGCTCTGATGGCTCAGAAATATTGCTTAGGACTAGGGGTAGGTTTGGGAGAACTGTACACGGAGTTAGAGCTTAGACAGCGAGCCAGGACATTTCAGGGAGAATTGGGCAGAGAATCATCTAGGTGGAGTAGTGCATGACGTGTTCAGAGATCAGGGAATGATTCAACTTCACTGATAAAGTGTTCATAAAGGCAGCCGTAGAGATAAATCCAGGTTGTAGGAGAACTTGAACAATGTCAGCTTTTCCCAAATTTCAGGAAATCATGTCATTATGCCATTATCTTTATGATTTTTGTATTAACCATATACCATTTTACTTACTTGGTAATCTTTTAAGACGGATGGACATCTTTTGTGTTACCTCATCCTAAACTCTACTATCCATGGGTTTATGAGTCTTAGATTATCTAATAAACATGATAGTTAATCTGTAACTATTAAAAGTATTTATCTGTATATCTTGCAAAATCAACCTGCTTTCCCCTCACGGAGCATGGACCACGTTTGGAGAATTAACGTTTTAAATAATGGAAAATCACGCTTTAAATAATGGAATTTAAGTGACATAACAGGAGCTGGATTTCGGAGACAATTCATCTGGTGGCTATGTGTCGAATGAACAACTTTGGCCATTGTGGGAGGAAGGAAGATCAATTAAAAAGCAGAACCTGCTTTAGCATAAACAATCAGGACAGGAAGAGATATTTTATTTATTTATTTATTTATTTATTTAATGTTTATATTTGAGAGAGAGAGAGAGCATGAGTGTGGGAGGGGCGGGCAGAGAGAGAGGGAGACACAGAATCTGAAGCAGGCTCCAGGCTCTGAGCTGTCAGCACAGGGCCCAACGCAGGGCTCCAATCCACAAACCACAGGATTATGACCTGAGCCGAAGTTGGATTCTCAATTGACTGGGCCACTCAGGTGCCCCAGGACAGGAAGAGATGTTTAAAAGAAACTTTACAATGAATTAGATGTGGGAGCAAAGGGAGGGGAAAATGTCTGAGAGTCCAGTTAAATAGATGACACCTATATCTAATATTTTAAAGATGTTCAGCTCTTTAGAGGCACAAGGAAATCATTTCCTGAAAATGAGATTTTGGATGATGTAATAGTACAAGTATTTAGGGAAGAGGACTTCACTTAAAAAAAATGGGCAGATTTGGGGCGCCTGGGTGCCTCGGTCAGTCGGGCGTCTGACTTCAGCTCAGGTCATGATCTCGCGGTTCATGAGTTCAAGCCCCGTGTCGGGCTCTGTGCTGACAGCTCAGATTCGGGAGCCTGCTTCGAATATGTGTCTTCCTCTCTCTGTGACCCTCCCCCACTCACACTCTGTCTCTCTCAAAAATAAATAAACATTAAAAAATTGTGTTTTAAATGGGCCAATTCTATAAAGATGAAGAAATTGTATGATCTGAAGCCTAACTTCTTGGTTTTCAGCACATGAGCTCTACAGCAGTAGCCAGATTCTGGAGATGCCCAGAGACTCAACTCAGTGGGCACTCATTAACTTATTGACCACGTTATAATCTGTGTTTTGCAAAGTGGTCAGAGAAACTTCCTACATTTCAGACTATTTTACAGTCTTTCGGAGGGAAACCAGCAACTGTGGTTCATGCTGAAATCCTTTTATAATGCAAAAATTGAGGGCCACTGGTTATGAACCCAATCATAAGCAGGTATATCTATTCTCCTTTGGCATTTTATGAGCTCTGTTGAAACTGGAGCTTGTCTTATGCTCTGTTCTGTTTCTGCTACAGCCACACGTATAAGTTCTTAGCACATTGTTGTTATGCTGGGTGCCTTCTAGAAGAGTTGAGTATTGGCCTTATTAATGGAACCATTGAGCTACCAGGAAAATATATTTTATTTAAAAAAAGAGTTCAACGGGGTGCCTGGGCAGCTCAGTTGGCCAAGCATCAGACTTCTACTCAGGTTTTAAATCTCACGGCTCATGAGCTCGAGCCCTGCATTGGGCTCTGTGCTGACTCTCTCTCTCTCTCTCTCTCTCTCTCTCTCTCTCTCTCTCTCTCTCTGTCTCTCTCCCTTCTACCACTCATGCATGTGCTCTCTGTATCCCAGAATTAATAAATAAACTTTAAAAAAGGAGTTCAACAGCCAGTGGTTTGGGGATTGGCTTGAACTCATCTGATTCACTCACTAATTTCACTTCTAGAGTTGAATAAACCTCTGAATCACTGTCAACAAGAACATTGCACACTTGAGTCAATGTGATTTTGTACTTCTGGCTGTCAGTTTTCTTGTGCAACATTCTTTCTTAATGTGTTGTGTAATGTTATTTCTGTAAAAATATAAATACCCGGAAGCGAGCCGGGTTTTACCCTAAAACTTTCTCCAGTGATACCAAATATGAGAATCTGAGTTTAGTGAAGATCACCAACTTCTAGCTATGATTACATCATATTTCCCAAAATATGTGGCACTATTTGCCATCTGTGTCCTATGTGTGGGTGCATCGGACACTTTCATTGCTGCAGTGTATGAACACGCTGTCATATTACCAAACAGAACAGAGACACCAGTTTCCAAAGAAGAAGCTTTGCTCCTGATGAACAAGAACATAGATGTTTTGGAGAACGCAGTTAAACTGGCAGCCAGGCAGGTATTGTCCTTTCTTAGGCTGGCTGGGATATTGCAGAGGAAATTTGAAACTTGGAAAGAGCGTGGGTATTTGGAATTTGTGAAAGACTGTTTTGCTCGTACTTGTCTTGAGCAGGGCACACATATCATTGTTACCCCAGAAGATGGAATTTATGGCTGGGTTTTCACAAGAGAGACCATTTACCCCTATCTGGAAGAGATCCCAGACCCAGAGGTGAACTGGATTCCATGTACAGATCCCCAGAGGTAATGTCGTTACCCTTTGATTTTTGAACAAAAAAATTGTGATAGTGCAAAAATACAAATAACAAATCCATTAAACTTGACTCGTTCTCTTTTCTGGCAATCAATTTATGGCTCTGGACCCACAAGCCTCTTCATACTGTGTGCCGTCTGGCATGGCTTGAGATGATGATTCTTGGTTGGTTATTTATTGTGGCTTTCTTTAATGAATGGCCTGTGTGTACATAGTTTTGATAATAAATACACTCCATGGGGTTTCAACAAAGTGAAAAAGTTGTATTAGCTAGGACTTCTGTCCCCAAATAAAGTAAGCTCACCCATGAATACCTGCCTCCTTTGCAGGAATGGTAAAAAGATAAATGAACTTATGTTTCCAAAGAGCTCTGATATCACTCGCATTTGCCATGTGATGAGTATGGCAGGTGGAAACTGCACAGGACTTGAAAGAGGAAGCATCATTTCCAAGACAATACCACCTCCTAGCTGTGTGATGGGCGGCAGATCACCTAAATACTTCTCATCTCCGTTTCTTTATCCACGAAACAGAGATAATAAAATTTCCTGTCCTACTTCCTTTACAGAGTAGACAAGAGTTTCAACTGAAGTGATACACGTAGAATCTAAACACAGTTGTGCTGCCTCCAACGTTAGCTGTCACGATTCCTTTTTTTTTTTTTTTTTTTTTTTTCCCACAAAAATAATTGGATCTGGAGGCGCCTGGGTGGCTCAGTCGGTTAAGTGTCCTGCTTCGGCTCAGGTCATGATCTCACGGTTTGTGAGTTCGAGCTCCACATCGGGCTCTGTGCTGACAGCTCAGAGCCTGGAACCTGCTTCGGATTCTGTCTTCCTCTCTCTGTTCCTCCCCCACCCACACTCTGTCTGTCTCTCTCTCTCAAAAATAAATAACGATTAAAAAAATAAAAATAAAGGATAATTGGATCTGAACTTTGTTTTCTTGTCTTTGAGAAATTTAAGCAATTATTAATAGCTATAGTTTAAGCATAACTTTTCAATGTTTATTTTACTTTTGAGAGACAGAGAGACAGAGCATGAGGGGGGTGGAGCAGAGAGAGAGGGAGACACAGAATCCAAGGCAGGCTCCAGGCTCCGAGCCATCAGCACAGAGCCTGATGCGGGGCTTGGCATCACAAACTGCAAGATCGTGACCTGAGCTGAAGTCGGACACTCAACCAACTGAGCCACCCAGGCACTTCGTTTAAGCATAACTTTCTTAGGGAACATCTGTATAAAACATAAGACAGATTTATGAAATTATTTTAGGTGTATTTACTTTTTAAAATAGTTTATATGTAACTCCTTTAAAAGGCAAAACTATGCATTAAAAAAAATTTAATTTGCTAATTTTAAACTTGCAGGCATCTGTTCCGAACTATATCTATTGTACAAGAAAAAGAATGTCTTCAATAATTTTAACATTTGAAATTGACTGGGGGAGTCAACTTCAACGTTGCAACATAGGAGTTCTACTGTGTGGGTCAGTTTCGCCCAGGAGTTTCACCTTTGAAAAAATAATCTACGTGTTGCATCGTCTACGTTTACAGTAACCGTGTTAACTATAACTCAATGTTTACTTGATCATGAGGTTTGTTTTTTTTTTTTTCCCCAGAGCAGGAAGGACTCATTATCTGCAATAATCCAAGAGGCTGATTCTAAAATTCACTTTATTTGCCTGGGCTGATAATACTGACTTTCCTAGGGGAAAGAGGTCCTGAATCCTGATAATTAATCTCAGATGAATTATTTTAAGTTGGGAAGGTAGATGACTGATGAAACTTCAACATTATTGAGGGCTGCAGACATTTACTCAAATGGTAACGGACTTACAAAACAGAAATCCGATATTTAATAAGACGGTAATATTGGTTTTAAAAAAAGCCACCATTTCTTCCCTAGTAATATTTATACTTAAAGGGGATAATAGAGGGCCACCTAGTTATCCTTGTGTATTTAAATACCATCATTTACAATACTGACCTGTCCCATGCTTCCTTGAGCATTACCCATGAGGAGTAATAGAAGATATTAAAATGCCCTAATTATTTAGCAGGAAGAAAGAAAGAAAGAAAGAAAGAAAGAAAGAAAGAAAGAAAGAAAGAAAGAAAGAAA